GGAGCCAAAATAGGCACGATTGCGATAAACAAGAAGTTAATTAAAACCATTGATAGTTACTCTCACCCATTTCTGCCTTTAATTAGAGGGCAGATAGGTGCGAGGACAGCACTCTTGGTGATGGTCTACCCAATCCATCATAAGCAAATTCACATGAGGCAAAGAAGGACGAATTCAGGCAGAGCTGAGGAACTGCTGACATTCGCAATGAAACCTATATAACGCGTTCGGTGAGTAAAGCCTAGATGGTGAGTGTAGCGGATGAAGTGTTTACATTGCAAATGTCAAATACAAGTGGTACGCACTCGCCTATTTGCACATTCTGATAAATTTACGATCAAATCAAAAAATAATTGCAGGTGTTAACCTTTTTACCGAATGCTTTGATCATTCTCATTCCTCTCAGTATAAAGTCTATTTGTTCTGCAACGAAAACTTCGCCTTTCACTTAGATCAATCGTCACTCAAGGAAATCCCTAAAGTAAAAAATCGATAATTCGGATGAGTAATTATCATCTCGCATAAAAAATCGATATTCCGACGCAATCAGCCAAACACAACTCACACAGGTTGATATTTAATCACATTAAAGTAGAAACCATAGTTGAGGCATTTAAAGGCACATATAGTTTTCTTTGGCATAAAACAATAACTATTGGTGAAATGAGCTACAAACTTGTGTGGAAGTTCAGCGTAGATGACCAATTGAGGAGCCCAGCCTAAGTAAATGAAAATTTAAGTAGAATAATAAAGGAATCCATCAAGTTGTCCAACTAGGCGATGTAAGCCTTGACCCCTACCATTCTTAAAGTGCTAACACATTGTGTGCACGCGTGTATGTATGCCTCCATACCTACGTGTGTGCATGTGTGAGCATGAGTATGTATTTATTGAGTGGTTAATGAAATCAAAATTCATACAGACAAATCCTACATGCACACAAGTTGTTTTTATAGGCTCCAGTGATGACACAAGGTGTGCTCTCCCTCGCCTTCTTCTTTCTCCTCCACCAAGTTTCTGCATTTTCCAATCTCAGCGTTGAAGAGTCAATCGGAGGCCTCATATCGAACCCCTACGTCTTGGAAGATCGTAAACGAATTGACGAAGAAACTATTGATCAAACGTCTTCCACCATCACTGTCACTACAATAGCCACCACTCATGAGCTCAGTCTAGCTTGTCTTAAAGATAATCTCACATTTTATCAGGCTGGCGGTACACCCCATTCCCTCCTGTGTAACCTCACTGGGCGCACAGACATCCCCTTGTCTGTCTCCCTTGACACCGACCTCCATGCGTTGGCAACCCTCCTTCCCCCTTTCTGGATATACTTTGCCCCTGGTTTAGTTGACCGCACTCTCAACATTAGCATTTGTCCACATCGAATTGGTAGCGTATACTTGAAAGTTTGGGTGAGAGAGGCTAAACCATGGAACTATGAGGGCGTCCTCTTTCCCTTCGATCTCTCGAATGCCACCTTGCTGAAGCAGTACACAACGTGGCTCCTAAAAGGAAATTGGGGCTTTGAGGAAGGTGGTAATGCAGCGATGGGTCTCCACTTAAAAATTCTACGATCTAGAGGCATTTTGGAAATTATTTTTCGTGTTATTGTGGCTGTGATGGTGTGCACCCTCACATTGGTCATGGGATGTGAGTTGGATGTCATGCAGATTTGGAAGCACTTCAAGAAACCGGTGGCACCAATTATTGGCTTTGTGTGTCAATATGGCTTGATGCCATTGGTAAGTTTTGCATCGCATTCCATCGAAGTACTTTGAACATCAGTCTTTCAGTCTTTAAAGTGCACACATGAGGGCTCCGTACATTTGAAAGTGAGCGATCACGCATCGATGGTTGCTCCACAACATGTATTTCGCTAGAATAGAAGGTAAAAGTGGCAGCGGTGCCTTTTGGCACATGAGTAAGTCTTCTGTCATGGCAGATCTGGTGAGAGAGTTAAAAACAAGTTGCCTTAATTTACTGAGTGCAAGGGAGTCAGGCTCAAGTGTGTTTGGTGAAGGAGACGTAGTTATGCGTGTGTAATGAGGTCCACCAGCTGTGTGACATCATGCCAAGGCAAGATTATGGCAGGAAAGCATCACAATTAAAAGCACTACTAAAAGTTAATGTTTTTTTGTATAAAAGGGAATGGGAATGGAGATAATTAGAGACGTGAAGGAGTTTCCGAATGACCATGTCACTTCTGTGGGCTCCCTTCAGTCTGCACCGTCTCGAGAGTTAAAACGGCTAAGGAAACAAGGCGGACGTGGTTGAGTGTGATCCATCAGTGCCCCATTGTAATCGCGATATTCATTCTTCCTTCCTTCCTTCCTTCTCTCCCTCCCCACTTCCATCCATCATTTCCTGCATGGGACAACGGTGATGTCGGCGTCGGTGGTGGTGGCGGTGGTGGTGATGGATGCAGATAGCCTTCGGTGTGGCCATGGTGGTGCCCATCAAACCGGAGTTTGGTTTTGGTCTCCTCACCACCGGTTGTTGTCCAGGTGGAGGCGGATCGAACATCTGGACACTGCTACTGCACGGTGATCTCAATCTGAGCATGACGATGACCTTCATCAGCTCGATTGCCGCATTGGGTGAGTGAGTGAGTGTGTGGTTGCGACGTATTAAACCTCTACCCACTCATCCAGCCATCCTGACATCAATCTTCCAGCAATTTATCCATTTTCCCCCAAAATTACGCCAGCTAAGGCTGTGCTGCCAAACTTTATTTCCTTTAATTTGTCTAATCGCCCCTCCTCACTCATCGATGCCCTCCACCTCCTCTACTTAAACGCATGTCATAGAGGGGAAATGCTCAGTGATGAGTGCGATGCCCACGCTTTGAGCAGAGGCAGTCAATCGGACCTGGGTGATGTCATTTGGTAGCGGCACGACTGTGTCTTCTTTCTGTGGAGTTTGAATAGTTGGGAAGACCCAATAATTAGTGTCAGTTAGTTACAGTCTGTGCTTGCTCACTGATGTGTTGCATGCCGAGTGTCAGTCCACTCGTCGATTTGGTGTCAGGTGGCAGGACTGAGGTGACAGGCTGGATGACTTGCCGATTTCAAGCAGTTGAAGGCGTCTTTCCATCCCACTCATCACTCCATCAGTCAAGAAGCGCTCCAAATCACACAATTCGAGAGAGTACTATGTAAAGTCGACTGACCGGTCCCCATTTGTATTTGTCGCAAAGTCCGATGCTCTAGCATTGAGGTCAAGGTTCTAAAGGGCTCCATAGTACCAAAAAAATGGTTAAAACTAATCATTTCAACACTTTTGACGCTACTCCTTTATGTCTCATTCATTCCCAAGTGCCTCATTTTCGGCTCTTGCTCTTCCCCCTCTCTCGTGGAAGAATGAGGCACTGCCTTGAACCTCTTTCAGCACTTTCTCTCCCACTGCATAAATTACTGAGGCACAATTCGCTGCTTCACTTAGTACAGCAAAATGTTGGCGTCGCACACTCCCATCCTGTTTAAATGCGGTACTATTATGGGATTGAAGCAAGCACTTGTCCTTGTTTGTTCGTCATCAAAATACGACTAATGGCATTGGTGATTTAAAGTCATCGTCTCTCACTTTGATTTTTCTCGCAATTTTTTGTTGCCCCGGTAAGTAGTTGTGACTTCGCCATCACGATCGCTCCAGCCTCTCCGCAATGCTTCCTCGGGAGGCTGATTTCTCACGCGAGGCACAGGAAAAGGGAAAATGCAGTGTCTAACTGAGTGTCTGCCCCAACCTTGAAGGCACCTTTTAAACAGCTAAGCTGAATTGTACTAGCAACTGTTGCATCCAATTTTGACAGGCCTCCTTCTGGCAGATGAGAATCACACACCGGAGCTAAACAGCCGACGTGTTGTATGTCTGTGCTGCACAATCTTTATGGGTTTATTTTGGTCATCCTCTTCCGATTGCACAGTTTAAAAAATGATGGAATCTCACATTCACGGAGTCTTGTAAATACTATCAACGTGAGGGGAGAGTTTGCTCACGAATCCACTTTTTCATGGCTTTAGGAGGCTTGGTGATGTGGAGGGAGGTTAGGTTGGCAAAAATAAATAAGATGTTCAATGAGTACAACCAAATCCCACCTCGGTATTAGCTTTTCTTTTTCAACTTTAGCTCGTGTGTATACGCTCCGATGTGCTAAGATCAGCATTCAGTTCTTGAATATAAAGATCTGAAAATTTTCTTTATTCACCTTTAAGGACATTAGGATCTTTTCTAAAGATGGGATATGAAAAACGTATTGGTAAGTATGAGGTGTTTACTAACTCGATGCCCAATACGATCGTTACATGTCTAAAAAGTGAAATGCAGACCTTAGACTTAATTAAGGTTGTTTTTTTAAGTCCGCTGCATAACTACTTGACGGCTGTCATCAACGCATACACAGCAGTGGATGAAATGAAGATTTAAATGTGCTGGGGTTGCACATCTTACGTCTTGTGTCCCCACTTTCGCAAGCATGCTTTTTCTAGTGCATGAAGGATGAAGTGAATAATCAGCACTAAACGCACACAACAGAGCAAAATTTAAAATGGAAAATGCACAGAGGATGTGTAGATGTAACAAGGTTAACACTGACAATCACTGACAAAAATAGGATTTTTCAGTCACCATATGGTTAAAAATTCCCTGCACCGCCCTAGACTCCATTTGCTTCAAATAGGTTAAGGGCAAAAACCCCCTCTTGCTTATTAATGCCTGAAGGTATTTAGGGTCCCACTTTTTTTATTTGGTAATATGATGCGCACAGCTTGGCTGAACATTTGTTTGGCAAAAAGGATAAGCGTGGGACAAACCCACCAAACGGAGCCATGGCGGCCACGAAAGCGAGAGCTAGGCAACATGCGATTTGCACCACGCCATTGTTGATTCTAATAATTTAATTTTAACTCAGGTGTAAAGAACAAAGAAATTGATCAAATGACAGGGTGCAAATGCACTCCCCACGATGGACAATAGATAAATCTTTTTTAAAATTAGTGTATGAGAGCTTTAATTTCTTTAACTTTAATTTACTTATTTAGCTAATTCTAACAGATTTGTTGACCTCTGTGGGTTGCCAAAATATTTCCATTCTTCCACCGTTTTGTTCATTTGATTCGACACCCGACGTTGATAACCTTGAAATTAATTAACTAAGTTGTCCACTTCTCGTTACTTAAGTCAGAACATCTTTGACTTTACTTTAGTAACATATGTTGGAAAGTTACATGTATGCTGCTATTCCACACGATCTGGAATATTTAGGGGATTTTTACGGTGCTTATCAGCCTCTGTGTTCCGCCAGTACATGCTTCGATGCAAATACCAAGAATCAGACCGTGAAGTGGGAAAAAATTACTTTTAATTGACTACCAGAGCGTTTACATGAATCAGCATAGGATCATTTGGGTGAAACCAAGAGATGACTTCTGAAAAGTCGTCACCGTTATCTGCATTCCCTCAAATAAGACCCTTCTAACTGTGGACTTTAAGCATTTTAATAGATGCGAGAGTTGCTAGCAGTTCACGACGGAAGAGACTTTGATGCCTCAGCATTTGCTTTAAAACTTCAAATCACTTCTCAAGTGCTGCATTCTGATTTCCAAGCGCATAACCTAAGTGGAGTAGTTTTCCTTTATTTAAGGTATGATGCCATTGATGCTCTTTATCTACGGCCGGTTCTTTCTCGATACCAATGCTATCCGCATTCCCTATGCCCAGATCGCTGGTCAGCTGTGTTACATTGTCGTCCCCGTCGTCATTGGCATGATAATTAAATGGCGTTTTCCAACTTTTGCTAAGCGCATGGTTCGGCTCTTCCTCCGGCCTATGGCTTTTATCTTTATTTTTTCCATCATTGGATTTGGCATCTACGTCAACTTACCCATCTACTCTCTCATGGGCGCCTATCCTCTCCTCTTTCCCATTGCGGCTGCTCTACCTTGGGTTGGCTTCCTCCTGGCTGGTGTATTTGCTTTTCTGTGCCGACGTTCGCGGGCTGAGATTCTCACCATATCCATTGAGACGGGAATTCAGAATACTGGAATTGCAATCCTTGTGTTACTCTACTCGATGCCGCAACCGGAGGGTGACATTGGAGCAGCGATGCCTCTTGTTGTTGGCTTTGTCACGCCACTACCCTTGATATTTGCATACACCATCGTGGCGATTAAGGAAGGAAAGTGTTCACGGTGTTGTCAGAAGAAGAGAGCAGCAGAGGTAATAGAAACGGATGATGAAGAGCAGCAGGAGAGATTGAGATCGTTCTCGAAGGATCACATCTTTGAAGCGGTGATCTCGTAGATTGTATGGCTGTTATTCCCCGTCCCGTCCCCTTACTTGCCATCTCTTCCCCGCAATCATTGAGCACTCATTTTGCCATAAAACGTGAAGTAACGAACTGGGCAATTGCGAGTTTATTATTCACATCATAGAGCAATAGCTCTGACCCAAGAAAGTGCTTTGCTAAGTTTGATAATTAGGATTACTAGATAGCGGCGCTAAACCACACGTGTGTCCATTATCATGAGCTATGTCTGACTTATAAAAGCCAACTAGAAAGATTCAATTGGGCATATCTATTTGAAGCAAAAAGTCCGATTTTCATACAAGTGAGTAGCAATTACCTACCTCTTATTAATAATGACAAAACATATCTAAATAAACAACGCTAACAACGATGCATTCATATAGCAGGGTTTTCAACATAATATTGGGGTGGATTCCAGTATGGCAGATTTAACGAATCGATACCAATCGCAAAATCATGTAAAATTGCACCTCGGGGCAAGATACTTTGAATTGCCGAACAAGTCATTCACCGAGGCTGACCGAGCATCAGCTAGAGAACTAAACTCATTCATATGAAGACAGAGGTATTATTAAGAGTAATGGAAACAAAGAATAGTGCTGGAATTTATTTATACCGTTTTGGCTCAAACTTGTACACGGGGGCGCGATTAGCATTACCCTTCCGAACGACCTTGAATTTAGAGTCAGCATTTCTCTGCAAATCAGATGATAGGCAAAGTAAGCAACGAAGAGCAAAATCCATATTCCAAATCAATAACAACGTACCATCAAGATGTCCTTGGCTTCGCGCCTAGCAATGGCAAGTTTTAGCTTTTCTGCTCGAGTCAAGCGCTCTAAGAGTTCTTTATAGCCAGCAGCTTGTAGGTCCATCAACGCATCTGCATCCGAAGCAGATATACTAGAAGAAATTTGAGTTGGAACAACTGAAGGGTCAAAGGAAGCTCGTACAGCACGAGCCTCCTCAACCGATTCCACAAAAACAGTTCGCTTTGGCTTGAGACGCTTGCTAGTTACGGAAGGATCAGCAGTGAGAAGGTTGAAACGTGACTCAAGATCTTGAATCTTCGACATTTCAATCGTGAATTCTCGCCGAAGATAGCGAATATCTCGAGAAAGCATATCTGCCAGTTCTGAGTCGCTGTATTCCTTCGTATTGTTCAGTGGTATGTGACCTTTTTCTTCCTGAGAACTTAAGATCAAAGTGACCGAAATCCTACGGAAAAGGCAGCGTTATGCATAGCAAAGTAAAATTCATCTTCATTTTTTGTCAGTGCTTTTCTCTTTAATTCGCGTATGCGATTCCGCTTTGCCTCTTCATCGCGTGATCGAAGAATGAAATCCTTCTTTTTCGGAAGAGTTCCATACTTGGCTCTTGCAGCCGGCTAAAGATACAAAACATCAGCGAAAAACTAAAACTATAATACCTGAGACCTCTCCTTATGTAAACGTGCATTACGCTTTTGGATATTCTTAAACGAAGCAAAAGGCATGATACCAGATAAAACACTCTAGTGAGGTGCTTTGCTATTGGTCAATCGTAAGCTTAAACACGTGGGAAAACGCATATGAACTTCAATTACAAAAAAAGACTCTTGGTTATTCAATTCGCAGCTCAACATGACGCTGTAAACTAAAAGTCCAATTAAGGAGAAAAAACCGACTAAGGAGTATGTGCAGATTAAAACTATAGGTTCACTAAGATAAATGGCTATTATCGTTCTGAACAAACTTGCAGATTATGAATCGCAGATTCAAAGCATGGTTTTTAAAAATAAAAATTCGTCAATTGCAAAAAGCGTTGCTATATCATGTATTTCACGGGCCTATTTAACCATCTTAATTGCATCCTCATCCATTGAGGCCGTCTTAAATGAGCTTGAGCGATAGCAAACCTTTACTCCGTTCGTACTTATTTGATTTTGTATAAGGGCTAACATGCTTTCTAAATATTCATTCATATGAATAGACAGTGAGCCAGAAATTTGACTAATACAGTTAAATGGATTAAAATATTCCGTTTTCAGAATATAATCAAAGAATACAAAAAATACAAGGTTTTTAAGGTCAAGAATGACGCTTTTTTAGGTTTTTTAAAATATTTTGACTGTATGTTTACACATTTTTGAGACCGTTTCCTTCTTTACCATAGTCAGCAATGGCACGTAATCCGCGTTAATTTGGTGCAACGACGAGGTGAGAACCGACTGGCAAGAAATTTTCTAGCCAGACAAGTGATAATTAGTCTGACGAAGGCATGAACTATGAAGTGCTACCCCTAGACTGCCCACCTGATAGAAAAAGACATTAAGCGGAGCTAAATGCATATTTTTTGGAGAAAACAAATAAACCGTGTGTAGTTACTGCCTGTCTACCCTTGGTCCCTGGTTCTCAGACATTAAGAGGAAATTGGTCGCAGACGATTTTTTAGGCATCGCTGCTAGAACGGATGGGGAATAGAATACAGATGAGGTGAGTAAGAGTTATCAATCGGAGGGAGGCTCCACGCCGACTCCACGCACGTAATCTAAGTTCCCAATCGGTTCCCGCCTCTCACCCATAAAAGTTCACTTAAACTAGCTAGAAAACATTACATCGAGTTTAAGCTTAGCCGAAGAGTTGTCTTACGCGTACAAAGACCAGGCTAATCTTCAAGTATCCATCAGCTATTTGTTGGCCACATGAACAAAGTTTTCCAATGAATATAATGCAGCACCACAAGACTCGCTTAAGTAAATGCATTTAGCAGCGCTATATACATTAACTCTAAGGTGTAACAAATGAGTGTGCTTTGGCTTGTCCCGAAAGCTAGCTTAATTATAGAACGTCAAGACCAATACCAATCCTCGCCAGGCCGTAGGTGGTCCCATAAACTAAGTATTACATAGCCAACTCTTGAACACATGGTACATTGCTCAAGAAATCCTAACTTTGTGCAGTATCCATAACTCCAATTTATTTATCCGCTCAAATGTGTTCAGTAACCTTCCCAACAGTCTTGCATTCAGAAATCCTTTAAAAGTTCAAAATATTTTATAATTTTTTTAGGAGCAAAATCTAAAAATTCAAATTGCTACTAGATTTGTATAGTTTGTACGCGCTTTAACAAGTTTAGACTTTATATCCTCTTCAAAGTTTAGTACATTGATAAGCGTAATTTCACAACGGTATTGCTCTTTAAATTCAATGTATTCTTTTGCAGCAAAAAAGTTTTGATTGTTTAAAAACTAATAAAATTCTGGTTTTTATACCCCGCCTTGCAATATTATAGCACCATCTCCGAAACCACCTGCTTTACCCGCTAGCCTACGTCCACACAATGAGTGGGGGTGCCAAGTCCTTTATTGATCGCCTGCGTATATATGTCAGATCCGGTTCAGGCAGCCCTGGTAATCCTCTGATTCACGGAAAAGGAGGCAATGGTGGCAGTGTCTACCTTCGCAGTGTGGAAGGACAAACTCTCAATGGTATACTTGACAAGTGTCCCAAAAAACGATTTATTGTATGGCTTTATTTTCGCACTGTCCAATCACTGTTTTACGCCTATTCACATTTTTCTTTTTTACAGGCCAGCTGCGGTAAACCCTGCAGTGCTCGACGCGGGATCTGCTTTGGCTCCAATGCTGCTGACATTGAAGTTTCAGTCCCCGTTGGAATTTCCGTCTCTATTAGTAACCCTGGTGAACCGACTAGACTGATAGGTGATCTTGACAAGCCGAATCAGCGCTTGCTCGTTGCACAAGGTGGCTATGGTGGTACACCTGTAACAAACTATCTTGGCACCCCTGGAGAGGCACGGTCTATAGTCCTAGACCTGAAGGTTTGTATGTTACTTTTTCCTTTCTTCTCTTTCTATCCTTTTAGTTGTTGGCGGATGTTGGACTTATTGGACTTCCAAACGCGGGGAAATCGAGCCTCCTGCAAGCACTTTCAGGGGCTAAAGCGAAAATTGCAGCGTACCCTTTTACCACTCTTAGACCCCAGATAGCCACTATCAGTTTCCCCGATCACCGAAAGATTACCATGACAGATCTTCCAGGTACGTTTGAATGTATTTGGACGTTGATGGCTATTCTCCAGCTGTCCAGATGTGCACTCGCTAATAACTTGCTTCTGCTTCCCTTGTACTCTAATTGTTCTGGTGAAATTCGCTTATTTAAACAAACTTACTGATAGGAACGAAGCTCACATTAGTATTTCATTTATGTGGGAGGACTATAAGATCTAGCAGTGTGTGTTTCATTGAATACACTTGTCCATTTGTACACTTTGGTCAAGAGCAAAGATGTGAAGTTAAATTATAGTGTTCGCCCTTCGATTTGTATGAATGCTTACTTAAAAACAGTTATCCAGGAGCGTCTCTTAGATCTTGAAGGTAAAACCAAGCTAAAGTAGCTTCCCGATCCGCTCCCATTCTTCAGGTTTGGCTGATATAGCCGCCAAGTTTGACATAAATCAGCAGTCACCCCCACCTTTGCGCCACACAGCCTTCTTGAAACATGTTGAGCGCACCGCCTGTATCCTGGTGGTCCTTGATGCCCTTGGCTTCCAGGCAAACCAACATGCTCCTCTGCGCACGCCGTTGGCCGCTGCAGTTCTTCTAGTCAGTCAGCTTCAACGCTACGCTTTTGGTCGTCTCCTTGGCAAGCCAATGCTCTGTGCTATTAATAAGGTGACTGACGCTGCCTAGTCCGTCGTCCAAACATTTGTCATTATTTTAGAAGAAATGACTAACGTTTTAACTAGCTGAGCTCCTTATAACCATGTGATTGGTCGAGTAGGTTCTCAAATAGCCATTTTATGATTTCCCACTGAGGCTGACAACTTTCCATGAGTCTTTTCAGCTTTATCACTCATCACTTCTTGGTCTGCAATGCCTCTAACTACATTTTGCGAGAGGTTAGGTCGCCTGGTAACTCCTTGCCTTTTTGTGTCTGACAAAACCGGAAGTTGTTCACTGAGTGCCATTGCTTTGTTACCTATGAACGAGACTTTTCTTTTGACTTAGGTAATGCGTATACACCCTCGACATTAATGTTCGCACAGCACCATCCGTAATTCCACCATCCGGCACTCAACCACTTGATCGAATCCCCCTTACCATGAGGTCATCTCCGCTTAATTCTGATTAGTTGGATACAATCCAGCTCTTCAATTGGTCACGTCACACGCAGCGAATTGTCTTCATTTTCTTTTCATACTCCTAACCTGGAAATTTAGGTTACATTAATCCAGTCATTCAGTACCGTTCTTCTTCAACCTATTTTGGTCATTTGACATCAATTTGGCCCAATTTTTTCTCTACTTTCCTTGCCTCTGTGAATAAATATGGAGGAAAAGCAGGTGCAGCGTCACCACACCCAAAATTGACGTTAACAGAGCAATAAATTCACTCTAAAGTTAGTCTTATCTACTTTTTTTGTGAATAAGGTGAGATACCACCCTTTTTATTAGATTGATCTGCCCTATGCTCGAGGGGCGGCAGAGGAGGCACG